GGGGGGGGGGGGGAGAGGGCAAAGTCCATAAAAGAATATTGCCCTACCGGTAAGGAAAAGGAGGAAAAAGTGTAGTCATCTATCTCGACCTGTTTCCCGACACGTTGGAAATCCAGACCGGCTCAAAGAATCACTCTCGCTATTTAGCCTTTCGTTCTGCCAACAAAGAAGTCATCCTTGACGATTTCCTATTCCTACCCTGTCGAGCCACCTCTCTTCTCTATTCGATGCTTCCGCTGGAAGGGGTCTGTATCTTATTGTCGAAGTTGTATAATGAGTAAGGGGTTGGGTGAATTCAATAATAGACGTATATTGGCATTCTGGCCTTCCTTCTCCTTTCAGGGAGATCTAATGTATGTATTTTGGTTTGTAGGTAATAAAACGTCAGGAGGGGGACATGCTCTATGTCCACTGAGAGCCCCGACCTGACATGTAGGTTCGTTAACGTAAAGTGAGGAGTTGAGCCTGGCGAACCGAAGTCACTTTTGGAACCATACTTCCTACAGCTAACATGTGTTTAGACCCCAAAGAGCCCTTATTTACTTTACTACTTTAGGGGGTGGGGGTGAAGGGGGTTTACATAGAACTGAGGCAAAGTGGTTTATGATTGAATCTCAGAGGCATTCTTATCATTTGGTAGATCCAAGTCCATGGCCTATTTCAAGTTTACTGGGAGCTTTGACAACCACTGTAGGAGGTGTGATGTACATGCACTCATTTCAAGGGGATGCAACACTTCTCAGTTTGGGCCACTTTTTACGCCCCTCTACTAAGAGATGCACCATGTTGATAGGAATCGGCAAAGACGTTCTTGTACATGTTCTCGAGGGCAGCATTCATGACAATCATCATTATTTTCTCCCGAGGGCATGGTATGGCTTTGTTCTTGGTCTTGTTTAATAGATGTCGAGTGTCGCTTTTCCCCAATGAGAGATCCATGAGATGTTCTTCCTCAAGATCAATCTGAAGTGTTAATGGAAGTTCATTGAAGATTGCTCCTATGCCTATTCCATTCTTGTCTAACTTTGCTAACTCCTCCTTCTCAACCTGTATCTTATTCGTTCTGGAAACACGTCTTAATGTGGTAGCGCAGACAAGGTTAATTCACTTTAGGATTATTGGTTGTCTCGCCTGCACTGACGTCAGAATAATCATTATAATACGATGATAGCACCTGATTAGTGAGAAATTCACTGCTCTCCTCTTAGCAATGATCTTTCTAGGGCTACTTTCAAAACTGTGTGCCCCAAATCATTTAGACTTATGAAACTAAGCGGCCGGGAAGGTATGACCCCTCGCGCCAAAAAACGAGGAACGGTCATGGCGAAACGATGACTATTGTTCCTTAGGTCATTTTTTATGAGCCGGCAAAATTTTAGGCGATTCAGGTCTGGTCGGCCGGATGCCTACATATAGCGTGGGTTATAGACACAAAAATTTGAAAATAGAGCGGAATTCCAATTTTATGGCCCTAAAACACCAAAAAATGAAGGAACGGTCATGGCAAAGCGATGACTATTGTTGCATAAGTCATTTTTTATAGGCTTTCAAAATTTTAGGCGATTCGTGTCTGGTCACCCGGGTGCATGCAAATGGTGTGGGCAGCATATGAAAATCTAGAAATCGGGCGAAATTCCAGTTTTATAGCCCTAAAACGCCAAAAAACGAAGAACGGTCATGGCAAGGCGATGATTATTATTTCTTATTTTGATTTTGATTGTGTATAATAAACATGTTGAAAAACTAGTGTGGTACAATTTCTTTTAAATTAACCAACTGAAAGTTAATTTTATAGATAGTCACTCAACTTTCACTTTGTTACATTAAGGTTATTAAACTATCATTTTATAAATAAAAAAGTGCTCAATTTTACCTAAACATTACAAAAGTTACCATTTTTAGTAATAAAAAATGCACTTTATTTTGGCGTAAATATCACAAAAGGTCATTAGGAGAAACAAAAGAGACATTTATATGATACTTTAGTAAAGTTGAGTTATTATTTTTTGTGATTTTTTATGGTTCTTAGGCAAGGTTGAATAATTATTTTGTTATAAAAAATAATTTAGTGATTTTTTTATAATATTTAAGAAAAATCGGGTGATTTTTATGTTACAAAAATAGTATAGCTATTTTAGTTTAATAAAATAATAGGGAAAGTTGAATGATAATCTATGAAATCAACACAAACAAGTGAACAACAATAACATATTTAGTATATTCTTATAGATGGAGTTGGGGAAACGCAAATAACTGAACAATAATAATATATTCAATATATTCTCACTAATGGAGTTGAGGTAGGTAGTGTATATTATGAAGGTAGAGAAACGCAACCGATCCAACATAACAATTAAGGCCACTAGCTAATATAAGAATTTACTTTTCAAAAATAGAAATATGAGCCGAGGGTTTTCGAAAACAACTTCTCTACTTCTTCGGATAGAGGTAAGGTCAGCGTACACTATACTCCTCAAACTCAACTAGTGAAATTTTGTTGGATCGTTGTTATTATTTTTCAAAAATAAAAATATCCATTTATTAATTGTACTTTCGAGAGTTTACTACAAGTCTCGTCCACCCACCACAATCCTCTTGATTGAACCATTATAAATAAAACAATCAAATTCTATCCATTTCATGTTAGAAAATTATTTAATGATCAATCCTTGTTTCTTTTTCCTGCTTAGATGCTAGAAATGGTGGTCCGTCTTATCAACTGATACAATTTTCTTGTCAAGGAGCAGAAGTAGAATTACAAATCTGCCAAATAAGTTTCGCGTTTCTTTTAATAAAGTTACTCTTTCTTAAAAAAGAGACATGTTCTTTCCGTTTTTGGAAAGTGACATATTTGTCAGGCTTGTGATTCTCCTTCCATGGCATAGAAAATAGTATCAATCGGTAACTGAATCTCCATGCGTCTGAGTCGGATAAAGAAACGAGTATATGATCGGATACTTTTCCGGCGCCGGCAATCTTTCGCCGTNCGGTTTTGGAAAGTGACATATTTGTCAGGCTTGTGATTCTCCTTCCATGGCATAGAAAATAGTATCAATCGGTAACTGGATCTCCATGCGTCTGAGTCGGATAAAGAAACAGAGTATATGATCGGACACTTTTCCGGCGCCGGCAATCTTTCGCCGGTTTTTCAGGTTTCCGGTGATGGTTTTTGAATAAAATTGTTCTTTTTATTCAAACCCCTAAATTGATTAACCCTTCGAATTAAATCTTGTTGATTTTTTGTGACTCAGCTTTTTGAAACCCTAGTAAGCTGCTACAGTTTAAATCCCAAAATTTGAACCCTAAATTGCTGTAACTAATAGACCATTAAGAGCATGTTGCTAAGTCTGTTCTTAATTGATTGGACTAATTTTTTTCTTTAAGTAAAACTAAATTTGCTGATAAATTTTTCCTTCAAAATTTAGTTTTTTTCTGTGTGCTGTTGAGTTTAACAAGCATTTCTGATTTTAATAATAAAGTAAATAACTGTGAGCTGTGAGAAGCATTTAACTAGGGCTTCTTTAGTGTTCACTTTTAATTAGTTTTTACTTCTTTTATGCTATAGCTTACTGGTGATTTCTTCAGTCTTGTAATGATTAGTTTCATTCATTTCCCAAAGTTTTGAACTTTTTATTTTCAATTCCATTATGATTCCAAAGGATTATCAAGTTATGTTGCAGGAAAGTGAAAGGTTATTAAAGTTTCATGATAGGATTTCGTAGTTGTTGATTACTTTTCATATTTGCTGAAATCGGCTTGTTTAATTAGCTGTTATACCTGTTATGGTGCAGAGTGTAGCGTCCTGTTGGGGAGAAGTATTGTGTGATTCTACCAGTTTATTTCTTGTCAATACATTAAGGCGATAGTGGGCTCTCATGTCTCAGAAATAGTAAAAGCTATATTGACGTGCCTTTTCTTATTAGATATATGTTGAAGTATGGATACTCTTATGTATAAGTAGATATTTAGAATGGAATAAAACTTATCCTACTATAGAATCTTACTATGAAAATAAGATGTGTAGATGGAAATGAGCGACAGAAGTATGATTGCATCTACGTATGCATCAATTGCATACCAGAATTGCTATGATATTGCCTCACTAGATCTGATTACTAATAATCTGATGCATTTATTACCAAGTGAAAACACTTCATCATATCACACTTTCTGGTTGGTTATAAATGGTGAAAGATTCATATCCTAACACATGTGTTTAGTTTTTTTCAGATCGATCAATCTCGTTCCTTTTTCTTTCTTAGAAGATGCTAGAAATGGTGGTCCGTCTCATCAAATGATAATCATTCATGTTATATGTAAGGAGAATCACAAACCTGACAAATATGTGTGACTATCTCTAAAAGAAAGAATACAGTATTTCCTGGTGTTTAGATAAATTTTTGTCATTTCATTTACAAAAGAATGCCCTGTATGTGAAAAAAATGTCATATCGCTTTCTTGAAAAAGACACATTTGTCAGGCTTGTGATTTTCCTCTAATGGCATGGAAAATATTATCAACTGGTGAGTGGACCTCCATTCATCTGAGTTGGAAAACGGAACGGGTCATTGATCGGGTACTTCTCCGGCGCTGGAGCTGGAGCACTTTCACCGATTTTCAAGATTTCAGTGATGTTTTTGAGTCGGTGAAATTGTTTTTTTCCTTAGAACCCTAGATTGATTAACCCTTTGAGTGATTCTTATCCTGTTCCATGAATTATTTCTTGTTTTTTTGTGTGGATGTGTGCAGATTTTGGAACCTTATTAACTGCTTCAATTTAATTACCAAATCTTGAATCCAAATTTGCTTTTAGAAGAAGCTAGGAAGATTTTGATAATGTAATTTCTGGAAATTGTTCTTTTATTGACTGTTATGATGTATGTATCTATAAATTCGAACTCTAGAAGATTAAGTTAGCTTACTAGTGCATCCACGAAACCGTAGATGAAACTAATTTGAATTATTTTACCGATTACGATTAGTAAGCTCTATTGCAGGAAAAGGATATGTTTCTAAAACCCGACGATAGGATTGCTTGGTAAATGATTTCATACTCATCTTTGATAAAATCGTCTTGTTACTGACCTGCTATTTTTGAGCTTCTGCTTCTTAACATTTTTATGTCAGTATTATCGTATTCTGTTTTTTGTTACTTGGCAGACTTTGGGTTTCCTTCAACACTTCCACATACGGATGGCTCATTTGAAGGAGTTTCTTCTGAAACAAGAGCCCGTCCAAATGTAAAACCTGTCTGGATACGTCCTGCTATTCTAGATTCATAAATGTTTGAGGAGAAGCAGCCACTTTGGAATTATCTTTGGTATATCTAAGGAATAGATTGCATGCTGATGATATATCTGAAGTCTGAACAAAGTGGAGAATGGAGACTCGTAATCTTGAAGTGTTATCAGGTTTTGGTGCACAAGGTAGCATACCGTCGAGGAGAAATTTTACGTACTAAATTTTACGATTTATATACATGTAGGCCATAGTGTTCTCCCATGTCTCATAAATAGTCAAAATCATAGTTGGCATCCCCTTTCTTATTAAATGTATGTAAAA